TATATATATATATATATATATATATGTTAGCTTCTTTTGTGTGCAATAAGTTAAAGAATTGCTGCAGCAGTTGCATTTTTTTACGTCTCTGTCGACGCTGCTGCTGGTGTTGCTGCTGGTGTTGCTGCTGCTGTTGCTGCTGCTGTTGCTGCTGCTCCTCTGCTTATGCTGCTGGTGTTGCTGCTGATGGTGCTGCTGCTGTAGTTGCTGCTGCTCGTGCTGCTGCTCCTTTGTTGCTGCTGCCTGTGCTGTTGTTGCTGCTGCTGTTGTTCATGCTGCCGCTGCTGTTTCTGCTGCTGCTACTGGTTCTGCTGCTGCTGCTGCTACTGGTTCTGCTGCTGCTGCTGCAGCAGCCATGTTACTTTGCTTCTCCCCGCTGCAGACTAATCTGTGCTGATATACTCAACAACCTAAACCCTAAACCCTAAACCCTAAACCCTCATAAAGACAAAAAATACGGAGCGAGCGGAGTTTACACTCAAATGAAAATACATAAACTCTGCTGCAGCAGCAGCCGTTGCAGCAGCATCAACTGCAGCAGCAGCTGCAGCAGCATCTACTGCAGCAGCACCTACTGTAGCAGCATGAGCTACAGCAGCATCAGTAGCAGCAGCATCAACTGCAGCAGCATCAGCAGCTGCAGCGGCAGCAAGCGCAGCAGCAGCAGAAACATGAGCAGCAGCAGCAGCATCAGCTGCAGCAGTTGTCTCTCGGTTCCTTCAGCAGCAGAAAGCAAAAGCGGCCAAGAGAAGCAGATGTCACTGCAGCACGCCGCTGCGAACAAACAACAGAAATAAAAAAAACAACCACATGCAGCAGCAGCAGCAGTTGCTGCAGCAGCAGCAGCAGCAGCAGCTATAGGAGCAGCGGCGACAGCAGCAGCTGCTGCAGTAGCAGCAGATATGCAGCACATGAAACCGCACCAAAGGCAGCAGCGAGAGAAGCAGATGCACAAGAAAAACAGCAGCAGCAGCAGCAGCAGCAGCAGAAACAAGAGCAGCAGCAGCAGAAGCAGCAACAACAGCAGCAGCAACAGCACTAGCAGGAAAGGAGACGAGACGAAGCGGCATATAAACACTGCATGCACAGCAACAGAAAATAAAAATAAAAAAACAAAAAAAAACAAAAACAAACAAACAAAAAAAAGATAAACAGAAATAAACAAAAACAAAAACAAAAACAAAGAGACAAAACCCTAAACCCTAAGACAAATATAAAGACAAACAAACAAAAACAAAAATAAAAAAATAAACAAAGAAAAAAAAAATAAAAAAAAAGACAAAAGACAAACACAAGCAGACAGAAATATAAATAAACAAAGACAAACAAAAAACAAAAAATAAAAAGTATTAAAATAAACAAAAATAAATAAAAATAAACAAAACTGAACAAAAGTAAATAAATAAAACAAATAAAATAAATAAAAACAAACACAAAC